AACATGCCCCTGCCACATCACATGTCAGCAGCAAGTCACCGTGTCTTCACACTCACCCAACCTCAGTGTTGTGGTTTAACCGAACACCAAAACCAGAACACTTGGCTACAGCCCCTGAGCTCCCTCCCTCCTACCAGTGCCCAGTCTCAAAGCCCTTAAGTTTAATGGTCAATCTATGTCTACAAAAAGCCAGTTCTAGCACTCTGCACGTTTGTTGTACTACAAGGACACACACTTACTTCTTTGGATGTAAGTCTCTTGCATGGCTGTTTACCCAAATCATCATCATCTTCCTCTTCTGCTTTCCTTTTTCTTTTCTTCTCTGTGGTGCCTGCAAACAGCAGAGATCACATACTGGGGCACCTTCCAAAACACCAGTCTGCTTGCAGAACTTGAGACTGGGATCATCATCCCATCTACTTCAGCAAAGCATTCCTTTGGTCATAATTTCAACAGCTTCTACCCAAACAGCATGCGTGTTCCTCACCAGAAGATCACTCGCTAGTACTGTGAAACTGCCCCTGAGACTGCTTCAAGCCCCATGCAAGTCCAGAAGAACTTCACAGTCCTGGCACGACAGGGTTCTCCCATGTAATTTTTGCTTTTAATCAAACTTACGATGGAAACTGAAGCCACAGACTCTTGAAGTCACCCCAGTAAATCCTATAGCCTGGAGTACCACTGAGCTTTTATAACGTCGTAAACCCCTTCCACTCCCTTCTGTGTAACATTACACCATGGGGAACATAAGCTGCTCAGGCTGCAAGCTGCCCTTAGCACCATTCTTTTGGAAATGTGACATTTGTCTCCACTTCACCTTCATTATCTAAGAGAGGGACTTACACAGAGAAGCCTTCTACAGAAAGGCTACAGCAAAGGACATCAGGGAGCCCTTAGGTTAGCTATGGAAAGATTTAACCAGCTTGAGGGGACCGAACTTGCAATCAGAAGCTAACAAACACTTCTCCTCCCCCTAACTCACTCTGTTCTCATGCTTACAGCATTTCCAAATATAGATTAAGAACATCTGCTAATCTTGATTTACCTCTGCCCTCAGTTTCTTTGGGTTCTTCAGACTTCTGCATGGACTTTGCAAACACTTTTTCACTCAGCTGCTTCGGGATTCTGCGAAGGAGAAAACAATCAATAAAAGAATGTTGCAACACAGAATGGAACCACCTCTGAGAAGTGATCAGTCGCCAGTGGATCCCAGCAGCAAAGCCACAGCCTTTGCACCTAAAAAACATGTCACAGTAATCTTGTTTCTGCGGTTACTGAGCTTGTGTGCTGCGCAAAGGGACAAAATGTAAGACTTAACCTTGACATCTCAATCCTCACAAAACTAGTCAATGAGCTTTGCTAAAACTGGGCCTGCTGGAAAAGCCAGGACACTCCTGCACGTGCATGGAGACCTGGCTAGTGTATCCAAGTACTGGCATTGCTCAGGGAAGAACCCAACTACCATGAGAGATCCGAGGACCCAACGCTGCTACCCAGAAAATCAACAGACTTCTAATCCATAGCCTAAGTAGCAGCTTTCCAAAAGAGAAAGACTCTTAGTCATGCTGCTAAATAGGACTTCTCGGAATAATCTCCCAAAACCAAGCTGCTTCTTAGACAAAGTTCAAATTCTTATGGCTAAACTAGATTAAGCTGTGGCAGCTTGTGTGTGGCAACACAGAGGAACCAGCCAAGCAAGTCCTGAATGGAGAGAAACTACAGCAGAATCACATTAACCCTTTTCCCCCTGTGAAACAGGTGAGTCACTGAACAGATTCAGATACCTTATTGCTGAGAATCTCTTGGCTTTGGCTTTATCCAGAAACTTTTTGTATTTTGCAATCTTCTCATCCAAAGCCTTAAGAACTGCCTTAGAGCCCTCCCTGGCCCCGGGTACAGCCACCTGCAGTTCCTCCTCTAGTAAGTCTTGATGTTGCTCATTTTCCTCTTTCTCCTCTTCCTGCTCCTCCTCTCCAGAAGAGTCATTGTCTGTTTCATCAAAGCCTGGCACATCTACAGGAACCAGGTCTTCTTCTGAGAACTGAGGTGCCACATTAATCCTCCCAAAGTTCTGCCGAACGTGTGACATGAGCTGCTTGATTTCAGTGTCTGTATTATTCTTCTCTTCTTCTGCCTCCACACTTGATTCTAGGGACTCAGAGATTTTCTCCTCATTATTATCTTGGCTCGATGTCACAGCTGCTGCCGCCAATGCAGGAGGCTGGAAAGAAAGAATGTAATGGATATAATATCCACAAAGTCTGTCCCAGTATCTCTGATAGGGATATCCACTTTATCTCTTTGAAAGAAGCCTGAGATGACAAGCTAATGATGTGATAATTGCTGACATTCCTGGTAGTCAGGTGGTGTAAAATGATCAGACATCTCTGCAAAGAGCATTGCTGTCTGGTCCTCAAACTCAAGCGAGTGTCACCTGAACCACCAGACTGGGCAGAGCCCAAGACATGCACTACCCGAGTTACATGGCACTCCACAGGCAAAACAAATACGTTGAGAAGAGGCTCGAGCATCACATTCTAACCTGGGGACCTGTTTCTGCATTCGGTGGCTTCACAAAGAATGGAATTCTGCCCCTCTGCCAGTCATTAAGAACCATCTTGCTCACAGTCTGCAGGTCAGGCTCACCACCCTGGAAAGAAAACAGTAACAAGTGATGTCCATGTCTGCAGGGCATACTGCCTATTACATGTAACAGAAACATTCCTATTTCCCTTGGTCAGGAACAAGCCACATGCTCTTCCAGCCTCGAAATGCACAAAGTTGTCACACCTTTAGCAGTTTTCCAGTCCTAGAAGCAAGTTTCTCAAGGAATTCCTCTGTATCATTCCAGGAATCGATTTTGTACGTCTTTCTGATGTACTCTGGTTTGGCTCTTTCCAACACAGCACTAATATGATCCTCAGGGCTCTTAATCTTTTCAACTTGAACCTGAAAACGAATGGTGGAATATCAACCCTTTGGAAAGGGTGTGTTCATTCTGAACCCATCATATTGACACCAGCAAAGATTTGCTGGTGTTTTGCACAGACACATACCACTCCCTTCAGCACAATGTCTGTCTCTGAGTCTCCAGATGGATAAACCACACCTGGGCAGTCGATGAGGAAGATCCGCCGCATCAAGGTAATGTATTGCCACACCTGAAAGAGATCAGTAGTTCCCCACGTTACCTCCTCCCACACTCTGCTTTTTA